GAAAGTTCCAATCAGTTCCTCAGACATCATCAGTGTCACCAATGCCACCTCTGTCAGAGGTCATATAATCTCTGCCTCGCTGCAGGCGGTTGAGGGAGACAGCCCAGCCGCCAGGGGCAGTGTGCTCCTTTCCACGTCCTCAATAAACCTGGTCTTTTCTCTTTTTCACATTCCGCTTCTCTATTGTGTCAGAAAACTGTAACACTCACCTCATGGTTTTACTATATAAAAATCCCTGTAAATACAGAATCTTTGGCACCTCACTCAGGACCCCTTCTGTCTCTCTCTCAGACAGAAGCTTTCTTTCTCTCAATAAATATTTCTGCTCTTAACCTCCAAAAATTCATTCTTCAATTTTAGAGAACACGAATTTGTACCAGATTTAGGTTAGGTCAGGAATTTCCATTCCTTCATATCATGGGGAATTCTTCATCATGAATATCATTAACTAAATTAACTAAATTTCAACTTTTGTTCAATTTTTGAACAAAGTGTTGTGGAGCACTCCTGTAATCCCAGCACTGGAAAGGCTGAGGCAAAGGAACCACTGCAAGTTTGAGACCAGCCTGGGCTACAAAGTGAGCTCAAGGCCAGCCTGAACTGCATGGAGAGACCCTGTCTCAAAAAGACGAAAAAATTCAAAAAGCTGGGATTGGAAATTCATTTGACCCAGCTATTCTACTTCTGGGCATATTCCCAGAAGAATTTATTTTATTTTTATTTTTTTTTGTTTTATTTTCTATTTTCCCTTTGAATTACATATACACCTCTTCAGAGGACACCGGCTGAATTTTGACCGAGTATACTTCAGTAACCCTGGACCTACCACAACACTGTCTAGCACATCACACCTCAGATAGTGGAAGGAGGCTTACTTTGGACTGTATTTCTCATAGCATCCTCTGGATTTGATACCATATGCTTGTCTTCTCTACTTTAAATATTTCATTTAAACATTGTTTAAAATTTTGTTTTGTTTTGTTTGTTGAGACAGTCTTGCTATGTAATCCAAGCTGGCCTTAAATTCACTGTGTAGCCTAGGATGACCTCAAATTTGCAGTGGTTGTCCTGTCTCAGCCTCCCAAATTCTGGTTTTATAGCTGTGCATCACCACACCTGGGATTAAACATTGTAAACACTTAAACATTTTTATAATGACAGGCCCAGGCCATCAGATCTAAATTTGATGAGAAAGAAAGTAAACACAGGGTGACAGATAACATGAAAACAGAGAACTCACAGAAGTCAGAGTTGTAAGGAGTGTTATCAGAAAAGTTAGGTGTAGGTTACACAGTAGAATGTGGAAATGGAATTTTCAAAAGTAATTATTTCACTTATGAGTATGGTCTCAAGTTGCATCCACTTACCTATAAAAATCTCAATGTGATCATTCTTTATTGCTGAGTAGTCCTCCATTGTATAAAAATACCACATCTTTTTTATCCATTCCTCAGTTGATGGACACTTAGGTTGTTTCCAAGATCTGGCTATTACAAAGTGTGCTGCTATAAACATGGGTGCACATATATCACTGTGGTATGATGTTCTCAGTTCTTCTGGGAATATGCCCAGAAGTAGAATAGCTGGGTCAAATGAATTTCCAATCCCAGCTTTTTGAGGAACCTCCACAGTGATTGCATCAGTCTGCATTCCCACCAACAGTTCAGAAGAGTTCCTTTTTCCCCACAGCCTCTCCAGCATTTATGTTGGTAGTTTTCTTGATCCTGGCCATTCTTTCTGGAGTGAGATGGAGTCTCTTTTTTTGTGTGTTTGTGTGTGTGTGTGTGTGTGTGTGTGTGTGTGTGTGTGTGTGTTTGAGACAGAGTCTCTCTATGCAATTCAGGCAGGCCTTAAGCTCACTTTGTAGGCCAGGCTGGCCTCAAACTTGCAAGGATCCTCCTGTCTCAGCCTTGAGAGTTCTGGGTTTACAGGCATGAGCCACCATGCTGGTCAAGGTGGAATCTCATTATGGTTTTAATTTACACTTCACTAATGACCAATGATGCTAAACATTTTTTCATGTATTTATTGGCCATTTGTATTTCTGCATCTGAGAATTGTGTATTTATCTCAGATGCCCATTTTTGGAATGGGTCTTTGAATTTTGGGGATCTGATCTAAATCAAACTCACATGTGTAAATACCATACAGTCTCCCTAGTGTAAGAAATGATGAGTATATAAGATACAAAAACCTCAATAAATACAGTGAAAGGATAACAATCTGCTTAAAGGGGGAAAACAATATCTCAGGGAAAATGAGGGGAAAAAAAGGAAGAGAAAAGAAAAAATATTTAAAATTATATAAACATACTTAGGATAGCTAAGATGATTGTGCTACAAATTCTATAAGTTCTTGGAACAAAATAGTTAACATTCATGGGATTGGAACAATTGTGCACCTGTATGTTATATGTTGATCTGAGGAGCTCTTGAAGATCATTATGTAAAATAACAACCCTCGTTATGCTCCTACCACCTTGTTTTGAAGCCCTGTATTGCCAGTGTTTGGGGCTCTTTGCTATTGTTATATATTTGTATTTTCTGTTTCATGTTTTTTATTAAGGAATTTGTTTTTTTTTTTTTGTTTTTCCCTCTAATACAGAAAGGATAGGTATACATGCAGAGACTCATACATGTGTAGAACTTCTCCTAAGCAGTTTATGAAAACACATTATATAATGCATGATGAAATGAACAGCTACTTTGAAGAAAAAGAAATACTAAGATACCCAGTGCTGATTTTGTAGTGTCACGCCGTGAAATCCAGCAATACTATTATTCTTTGTTCAGAGTGATTTTAGTCTATTTTGTTTTGTTTAATTTCAACATACGTGAAGGTATGGACAGCTATTTTGAAGAGAACAAGAGACATTATGGCAGCCATTGTTAACTTCCCTATTGTGGTTTTGAAGACCTAAAATGCCTTAATCATCCTGTTCTGATCAGTTGAATATTATTTTGTGTTGTATAAATTCATTGTGTGTGTAGATATAGACAACTATTTAGAAGAAAACAAGAGACAGTATGATAGACAATGAAGATCTCCTATTTTCTTGCTTTGAAATCTGTCTCTTACATTGTTTTCTTCTGATCGATTTTGTTCTGCTTTGTTATGTTTAATTTTACTTTCTTTGAAATAAAATTTAAATAAAAGTAATCATTAAATAAGTAATCCGTTGTAAGGTTCCTTTCATAAGGAGTGGGTAGCTTTGATGGAGATTAGATTAGTCCTTCTCTTTACCAAAACTTCTCAAGTGCAAATTGTATTTTTTTCTCTGTATTATTTATCTAATTGCAATTAAATAATACATTAATTTCTCACATTTATGGGAGATTGGTTCCAGGATCCCTGAGGACTCCAAAATCTTTGCCTGCTCATGCCCCCTCATGAAGATGATGTTTTATACATATAATCTGTGCAGAGTTCGGCATACTTTAAATCATCTCTAGATTATAATAATGCTGAATAATGTATAATGTAAATGCTATGTGTGTAGTTATACTTTTTATTAGGAAATGACAAGAAAAATTCAGTATACAACCAATTTTTTCCAAATGTTTTCTTTTTCTCAACTTTTTTGTACCGGTGGTTAGTTGAATCCACAGATGTTGAATCCACAGAGATACAAAGCCAACTATACTAGATTATTTAATTATCTTAATATTTAGCTCCCTTCATAAACTCCAAGAGAGTAAGAGGTCTTTCATTTTGTTTTATTCTATCCTATATTCTAATGCCTACAACATACGGTGCTCAAAGAAGCATTAATTATCTTTTTTCTGTAAGAAGACATCTCTTTGCCTTACTTCAAGGTTCTCATTTATTTCTACACATTATGAAAGGATGAATGTAAAAATGCACCTATGGCAATAAAAAAAAGGATGAATGAATTGTCCTTATAAACATGCATAACAGAATAGCAAATATCCTGTGTCTCTACATGTAAATAATATTCTCTTTCTTTGTTTAATGGCTTGTAGTTTGAACGGATAAAACTTGGGGGCTATGGTTTAGGGCAGTGAGGGTGAACTTTTCAGAGATGGAGTCCCCATACTGCAACCCAAAACCCAATTATTTATTACAAAGTGCTAAGATGGCAATTAAACCTTAAGACTGAACTTTTAGTTCGGAAAAACAATTTATACACAACATATTTTGACTTAGAATAAAAAAACACAGTAACAGCTTTCAATGATAGTTTTTTTTTATTGAGAGAGAAGTTTGCTTTGGCACACTTTTGTACAATTAATGTAATTCTTGTTGTTGCATGTATGCTGATAATTTGTCATTACCGCTGCTGTGGCGACTTGCCTTCAAAGATAGTCGGCGTGCTACAGTTCAGCACCACTGATTTAGAGTATTCCAGAGTAATCTGCCTTTGGAAAATCCAAGATTAGTATTTATTCCCTGAAGACAGTTTTACAGAGTGACAGGATCTGTTGCCTAGAAATATTAATAATTAATACATCCGTGTATTCATTCACCCAGCAGTTTTTACTGGGTGCCTTCGCTGTGCCAGTTCTTACTGACAAGTTTCCCGAGACGGGGTAAATGTACCATCTGGGACTTGGGGCGCGGACCACGCGAACATGCAGGGTTCCGCCAACAGAGGGCGCGCTCACAGAGGCCCTCGGGACAGCCGGCTTCCAGGCGCCTCGCTCGCTCCCGAGCGCGCCCCCGCCCCCGAGTCACGTGACGCAGACGGGAACCTGAGCTGCCCGGCCTAAGCCGAGCTAAATTCGTTGCTGGTGGCCGCTGTGGGTGCAGTCACAAAGGCTATCCTGGAGGATCGGGGGAGGCTGGTGGAGTGGCTGCTTCCCCCTCCAAGGCAGGTCGGCTCCCGTTTCCGTCTCCCCATTCGCCCTGCCTGTCGGCGCGTTTGTATGAGCTCTTTGGTACGGGGGAGCGCCGGGGACCATGTAGGGGGGACGCGTGAGGAAGCTCCTGTGCCTGAGCCGAGGTCCGCGCCTTCCGCACGCCGGCCGGCGCCCTCGACACCCGGCGTGGGCCCGCTGGGCCCGTGGGCCGCGCTGGGGACGCGGCCTCCGCCTGCGGCCTGGCCCGGAGCGCCGCGAAGTCTCGCCCCGTCTCGCGAGAGTCGAAGTTGAAGGAACATGGCGACGTCTAATCTGTTAAAGGTAAGACCCTCACGCCAGCCTGGGTTTTCCTCAGTGACCGCCGGGCTCGGTGTTTCGGGAAGGCCTCGGCTCGGGCTCCGCGGCGGAAGGTGCGAGTGTGCCGGGCTGTCCGGGGGCAGGGAGGCCGCGGTGGGCCCCGCGGGGCCGGGGCGCGGGGCGCCGGCGTGGGGGTCCCGGGGCTCCGAAGTCCCTCCCGCGCGCTGCCTGCGCGAGCAAAGCCCTGCGCGGCCGGCGGGAGCGACGCCTCCCCGGGACAGGCTCCGGTCCTGCCTACGGGGCCACTGCTGCGCTTAGGGTCTGCTTCTGCTGAAGGGAGAAGTCTAAGACGACAAGGGAGAAATTCGAGAAAATGACGGGCTGCAGGTTTCAGTGACTGAAAGCCCAGCACCTCAGTTTCTCTTCTGGTTCTGTCTGCACGAAGTGCGAGGCAGAATCGGTGCCTCCCCTTCCACGCACTTCTTCCCCTGTTCTGCGTGCTACACCTGACCCTGACCCTCCTCTTCGGGCACGCCTCGCTTCTATCCCCACTTGTTCCTTAAGAAACTGCTCCTCGCCCCCACCACCGTCCCATGGACCATGCCAGATGCTGAATGACGGAAGTGCGACCAGCGTTTTAGGGTGTAAAAAAGTTCTTACCAAAAAGGCCGTTTAAAGTTAGTTTTCATATAGCATGGGAGCTCTAGGCCCGGAGGGGCAGATTTTCCGTCGTGATTTACAAAGTTTGGAGAATGAGGAAGACGCGGAGGATTTTCTATCTTTGTGGATATAGTAGGAACTTTTTTTACCTTTCAAGTATTGACTGAAATGGGTGTAGTGATTATCTTTGAGAATATAAATACGAAGGATGAATTACCTTTCCCTTAGACACATCGTATGTCTTTAGGCAGTATGGATAAATAATAGGAGATATATGAATATGTACTGCAATGCATTCCATGCCTAATAGTAAGTCCAAGGCCCTTTTTTTTTGTTGTTTGTTTGGGCCTTTTTGGGATAGGGTCTTACTATGCAGTTCAGTCTGGCCTTGAGCTCACTTTGTAGCCCAGGCTGCTCTCAAACTCTGGACTATCCTCCTGCCTCAGCCTTCCAAGTGCAGGGGTGTGAGATTACAGGCCACCAAGCCTGATTAAAGACCAGATTTTACCAAGAGGAATATGTCATCTTTAAAAAGGGCCTAGAAATGCTGGGCATGGTAGTGCACATCTGTATAATCCCAGCAGGTGGGAGGCGGAGGCAGGAGAATCGCCTTGAATTAGAATTAGAGCCAGCTGGCACTATATAGTGAGCTCCTGTCTCAAAAAAAAAAAAAAAATCCCTGAATTTTCAACATCTATGTACTAGCTATTGGACTTCTTCTTCTTCTTCTTCTTCTTCTTCTTCTTCTTCTTCATCCTTCTTCTTCCTTCTTCTTCTTCTCCCTCTCCTCCCCCTTCTTTTTCTTCTTTTATCTTTTTGACAGTCTCACTGGGCAGTTCAGGCTGAGCCTGAGCTCAGTTTGTATAGTCCAGGCTGGTCTCCAATTTGCGGTGCTCCTCTAGCCTCAGCCTCCCAAGTGCTGGGATCACAGGTGCGCACCATCACACCTGACTTTTTAGCTGTCTGACTATAAGCACGTTTCTTTTTTTTTTTTTTTTTTTTTTTTTTGGTACCAGGGATCGAACTCATGACCGCCTGCTTGCAATGCAGGTGCTTATGCCGCTGAGCTAAATCCCCAGCCCCAGGCAGGTGTTTATGCCTCTGAGCCAAATCCCCGGGCCCCATAAGCACGTTTCTCAACCCTAACTTTTAAGTGTTGGTTTCCTTATCAGTAAAATGAAATAGCTCCTACTTTGAAGAACTATTGTGAATTTATACAGAACATTTGAAACACTTCTGACACTTAATTAGTATGCAATAGAAGATTAAAGCTACTGTCCTAGTCCCATGTGTTCTATCGGTATCATTTGTGCCCCCTCCATTAGACTGAGGGTCTTCACGCTGAGAGCTACATCTCCAACCCTGTAGGTATATTTGTTTTACTTTTTGAGACAGAGTCTTTATATGCCATAGGTCAGGCCTGCCTAATTCCACTATGGTATGTAGCCCAGCCTGCTCTCCCTTTCCTTTTGTCAGCCTTACAAATATTGTCTCCAGTTCCACACACAAAATTGAGGAGCCATGCGTGATAGCATACATCTGTAATCTCAGCATTTGGGAGTCAGATTTAGAAGGATCTCTGAGTTTAGGGCCAGCCTGCGGTTACATTGTGAGTTCAGGGCCAATTTGGAATTAGTACATAGTAACACTCTGTCTCAAAAAACCAGAATAGCCATTATAATAATTGATTTCCTGATTCTTTGAAATTTTCACTTGATTACTTGAGTGTACGGCAAGGTCTTCTCCAGAATTCTGTCTAAAAAGAACAAGTCACTGTTCTCCACAGAGTCTCACAAAAGATTTTTTTTGGAGGAGAGGCAATCCTAAAACTACCTTCTTTAGTGTTCTGATAGTTACCTTATAGAGATTGTTATCTACATCTACAAAGTAAACTTACAGAATGGAAAAAAGAACCTAAATGTACGGGGAAAGGGCTTATAAAAAACAAGATTTAAAAAGATACTCTAACTTTGATAATGTAAGATGATGATACAGTGGAAAAAAACTGTAACTTATTCATCCTAGTGGAAACCTAAAGACAAATGGCAGAAGTATATTGGGAAATTTTTAATAAAATTATATTAATGTTCACTGTGGGAAAAAGAATTTTGAAATGAATATTATACAGTGTAATTTTATTTTTAGAATACTAATTAATTAATTGGTTTTTTGAGACAGTGTTGCTATGTAGTTCAGGCTGGCCTTGAACTCACTTTGTAGTCCAGTAGCTTGCTTCTAAAATTGACTCATCAACCAAATGTTACTGGTTTCTAGGTTGCCCATGTCTCTCTTTGGGGTTGGATTCCAGGTTCATCTTGTCCTGAACGGAGAACTGGAACAAAACAAGCAAAAAGAAATGGCCGAGTTATTTAAGAAAGTAAAAGTAAAGAGTGGGAGAGAAACTGGCTCTGCAGAAATAGCATGGGCCAAATGAAAGAGGAAAAAGCAAGATAAAAGAACACCCTAGAGAAAGCAGGGCAGGTTATCGTGAAGAAAAGCCACCATGGCAAGCTCTCCATGGCTACCTCTCCTGTTATGCTGTCCAGATCTCAAGGAGACCCATGAGAACTTCTAAGTACAGATCCTAAGAGGAGGTGCTGGGATCCGAAACCTCATATGGTGTCAGATCTAGGTCATTGTGCTGAAAACTTGCTGGAGTTCTCAGGAGAAGTGCACATGCAGGGATTTGGGAGCTACTCTGTGCACGTGTTTGAGGACTTTTGTAATTAAGTCACTTCTGCTTCCTCAGTCACACCCTAATCTTCTGTGTCATTTCCCCATCAGAGACACATTCTCATAGTGCTTTGTGGGGTGCTGAGGGTGTGGAGGTCTTGGTTTATAGCTTCTTCAATGTAGAAGGGGTTGTAGACCCTACCTTCTGGGGATTATGTGTTCGCCAACTACCGTAGGGTGCTGTGGTTCACTGGCTAGGTTGCAGAAAGGAAAACCTGTCAGGAAATGAGTAAAGGCAACTGATTTTCACTGTTGGCCCAAATATGAGGAGCAGGTCAGATCTCCATGCTTCCTGTAATGACACTGGAGTCTTGCTTTTTGTAGAGAAATCTCAAGTCTTCCAAGGCTCAAAGGAGTGCTTGCTTTGGTGAAGATTTTTTTTTTTTTTTTTTTTTTTTGTCTTTTTCCTTTTTATCAGTACCGGGGATTGAACTCACAACTGCCTGCTTGCCAGGCAGGCGCTTATGCCGCTGAGCTAAATCCCCAGCCCCGGAATCCTTCTTTGGCAGCACATATACCAGAGGCTCACAGGCATAACTTTTTCCTTTTGTGTGACCTTGGTCTTTAATAGTAACTTGCCTTTGAGAGGCCAAAGGCCTTCCTGTGCCTCCTTTTTGATTGGATACTGCTTTTGGTTAGGAAATTGGCTGGGGTCTTTCAGTTTCATAACTAGTGGCAAAGCAGTGTCTGCCTTACCAGGTATTGTTATACCATGCAGCGGGATCTACCTGTTGGTTAATTTGGTCCAGAAGACCTAGGTGTAGTCCCAACATGTAAAACCCATTTTGTGTTAGCTATACTTTGAGCACTACCCCCAATTTTTCTAGTAAATCTCTTTCTAGCAAGGAAGCAGGACACTATGGAACAATTAGAAAGTCATGGTTAAACATTTGACCTTCAAAGTGACATGTCAGAGGAGTGAAGAATCTCACCTATCCATCCTCAGCCCTAGCTATGGCTATAGACCTAAAGGAAAGTTTTCTAGAGATCTAAGACAAAACAGAGTGAGCTGCCCATATATCATTAAGTAGGTGAATTGGCTCACCAACCGATGATGCCTGAGTTTGCCCAGATTCCTTGGAGGAGATGGCATGTTTGTGGTATTTCACAGGCACTGCAGGTTCCCCCAGGTGTCTTCAATTGTCAGAGCAGGAAATGAGGTTCTGGTTGGCCTAGCCCATCTCTGGGAGTAGGGACAGTCAAACCTCCAATGCCACGGGTCTTACACATCAGCCACCTCACATGTGGAGTAGAGCCCAGGCAGAGACTTGATATAATCTTGTGTCCAGTGTTCAGTGTTCTTGTACTTGAAACAGGAACTTTTCCCCTGGCTGTCTTCTCTGGGTTTTTCCTTAGGTGACCTGAATGGATTTAAAGTATTACCAGTTGTATACCATAGCTATAATCTTAACCATTCTCTTTTGTTTCTCATCTGGGTCCCAACTGTTAAACATAGAAAAGACAATTGGGCTATGGTCCCATCTGAAATTTTTGTAGATTATGCCGAATATCTAGGGCTGACTGACAGATAAAATGTCCCATTAGTGTCTCTCCCTCCCTGGAAGATGAGTCTATATGTGTACATTTACAAAAGATTCGATGCTTCTCTTTAGCTCCTTGGTAAGAGCGTC